TCAACCGCCTTCGATTCCCATGATCCGCAATCAAGATTAGAACGTGTGAGACTCACTTTAATCATGTCCTGGTAGCGTAACTTTGGTTTCCCCACGTGCCGCTTCCCTATACTCAGCTGACCGTATAAAAGTTGTTTCGGTATCCGCGTCAAATCCATACGGCTCACATGACCGAGCCATCTCAGGTATCTCAGTAAAAGTATGCAGTCCACTGCATACATCCCACTTCGGCGCAACACTTCCGTGTCTGCAACTCTGGCGCCCCAACCGATCCGCAAAATTCGTCGCAGACCCTGCTGATGGAACCGCTCGAGATATCGCACATCCCGACGGTACATCGTCCACGTTTCACTGCCGTATAGAAGAACGGACAGTACCATGGATTTGTACACCATCAGCTTCATGTTAATGGTAAGCTGATGGTTGTTCCACACTCGGTACTCAAGCTTCCCGAATGCCGCCACTGCCTTCCACACGCGATTACGCAACTCAACGTGTAGCTGTTGATCAGTCGATATCACACTCCCAAGGTAGCTGAAGCGGGAGGTGGTTTCCAATACTTCAGCACCAATGCTGATTCGCGGCAATATTGAAGATTGCACCTCCGGTGAAGGCTGAAAGAGACAGACAGTTTTGCTTGTGTTTGTGGTGAGCCCGAATTTGACCGCTGTTGAAGCCAGAGCACTAGTCATGTGCTGCAGTTCATCCGCGCTGTGTGCAAACAACGCACAGTCGTCAGCAAACAGCAACATACGGATAGTTGTCTCACAGACTAGAGTTCTCGCACCGAAACGACGGATGTTCAGCAACCCACCATCAATACGGTGCTCCACACGAACACCGTAAGCACAAGCGGCATCAAAAGCACAAGACATCATTGCATGAAGATATATATTAAACAGGGCAGGAGCTAAGACACAGCCTTGCTTCACACTAGAGACAACTGCAAAGTCATCCGAGGTCTCTCCACTCAGCTGCACCCTCGCTCGCATACCACTGTGCAGACATTCAATTAAACTTACAAACTTACGCGGGCAACCAAACTTACCCAACACCAGCCACAGTGCCTCGCGGTTCACCGTATCAAATGCTTTGATGAAATCAACAAAAAGTGAGGACAATGGCTGGTGTCGTTCTCTGCACTTCTCCTGCAACTGAGGAGCCGCAAACACCATATCTATAGTGCTGCGACCCGAACGGAATCCATATTGCTCTTCCGCCACGTTAGGTTCCACAACCTGACTCACGAGGCGATTGAGCAGGATTCGGGCAATCACCTTGCCCACACAACTCAGCAAGTTGATGCCACGATAATTCGTGCAACATTGCTTGCTCCCTTTGCCCTTGTACAGTGGTAGCACAAGGGCATCCTTCAGCTCAGGAGGCACCTCCTCCGCAATCCATACACGTTGCACCAAGTGGTGCAGCGCAGTCAACAACGCCGGACCACCGTGTTTCAATACTTCAGGTGGGATCCCGTCACCTCCGGCACATTTGCCGTTTCGCAGCTGAGCAAGTGCTCTCTGCGTCTCATCCAGTGTCGGCGTATCCGCCAGATCCGCCTTCACATCGTGCTGCTTGAGGCCGTTCAATGTAGGCCAGTCGATCTCTGAACGGTTGTTCAAGAGACAGTCAAAGTGTTCCCGCCAGATCTGCATTATGTCTGCAGTCTGTGTGCAGGTAGCGCCTGAACTACCATCGATCAGTGTCCTCATCGGCTCCAATCTCGGTCCATACACCGCCTTCAAGGAGTCAAAGAATTCCTTGTGTTGACGGCGTTCGGCGTAGCAATCAATCTGCTTCGCCTTCTTCGTCCACCATTCATTTTTTAATGCGACGGAGCTCTCGGGTCAGTCGCCGTCGAAGTTTGCGAAACTGACTACTCTTCACCAAGTTACTGGGGTCTGCCACATGTGCAGCAAATGCTGCATTCTTCTCTGACACCAATGCGCCAATCGTCACATTGTTGTCATCAAACCAATCAGGCCGCTTACAGTTTGCGCGCCCGATGGTCTCCTCGGCAGCAGCTGTCACCTGGTCGCGAATGTGGTGCCACAGGTCGCCCACTGTGGCTATGCATTCCACATCACCACACAGGCGTGCAGCCATCGCCTTCTCCAGCTCAGTATGTTTCGCCACAGTACCGAGGGAGAGAATGTTAAATTTACGCCGATTCACGGCGGGAGTGCAATACATCGATTTACGAAAATATATGTACAGTTTGGTGCGAACCAACTTGTGATCAGTGCCACACTCAGCTCCACGCAGTACACGTGTCATGCGCACTTCACGCATATCACGCTGACGTACGATGACATAGTCGAGCAGGTGAGCGTGACCACTCCGTGGATGCGTCCAAGTTGCTATATCACTCGCACTCAGTGCAAACCGAGTGTTCGTGATCGTCAGGCCGTGAGTGGCACACAGTGAGAGCAGCCTGTCACCGTTCGCATTTGCTGAACCAATGCCATGCGAACCGATAACGTCTGTCCATGCTGATGCATCACGCCCAACGCGCGCGTTGAAATCACCCAGCAGAAATAGTCGGTCGCTCCTCGGAACAGATCGTATCACGGAGGATAGCTCAGTGTAGAACTGATCACGCGTGTCATCAGGATAACACATGGTCGGACCGTATGTGCTTATAAAAGTAGCAAACTTACCATATATATATATATATATATATATATATATATATATATATATATATATATATGTGTGTGTGTGTGTGTGTGCGCGTGTGAGTGTTTGAGCTGCTGTGTCCGAGCGCTCTAAAACTTGAATATCGTAGACTCCAATATGCAGCGTTCCCTTGCGGATTTGAATGACGCAGGCGTTGAAATGCTGCCTGGTGAAACGCCAGTTGGTCTTGATCATGCGGATAATAATGTCTTGTTGTTTGACGGTTTTCGTGACCTAGGCACCTCGGAATAATCTTTGTAGAGTGGTGCCATCATTGGGCGCTTCTCACCTTCAACGTGCCGTGTTGCAGGAACACTACACATTTTATGAGTAATTGACCATTGGTAACGAGGAACTCGAAGCAGTTGGTCAATACACTTGGTTTGGCAGCTGCAGCAGCAACGAGGGACGAATAAGGACGGAAGTCAGGTTACGTATCGCAAAAACCAGAACTGCCTTCATGAGTCTGCAATATCCGTGGTGTCATAAAGGGGTTTCCATCGGCCTGAAAAGCAGCGTGTGCAATATCCCAATGACGGCCGTAACACTCTATTGGAATAAGAATCGCCCCCTCCGATTTGACGCGTCTTCAATCAGTTGATCATCGATTCCTGCGAAGCACTTCTAGTGTCGGATGGCACCAGCGTGTCAGCAATGATGATATCTAGCTGGCTCCTTAGAAGAACAGCTCATCCAAATTAGCATCCATACAGCAGCCATATGAACTGATTCTTGTCTGCCGTACAACCACTGTGGCCTACGGAACAAAGAATAATAAGAGGGAGAGAAGAGGGACCAAGTGTAAAACAACGCAGTAACCTAACATTCAGGGTTGGTGTCTACATCTTGTCAATAAAATATCGTCACAAACAGCTGGCTATAGTCAAGGATAGAAATAAATCATTTGCGTTGGCTGAGACAAGTAATACGTATGCTCATGCACCACTTACCACTTGTTTGCCAGATGTAGGGTAGTGCAAAGATCGAGGTGATAAAAGGTTAACGTGGCAGCGTTGAATAAAGTCGTTTACTACAAACCTGAGTTCTGTTGGTCTGTCTCGCCATCAAGATGGAGTAGACATGACCCGCCTTGTGCTTGCTCGCAGTCGTCTCCTACTTGGACTGCCTGTTTATAATATGTTTGGTGCTGAGTTATCTGCTGAGCAATGACTGATTCATTGTTATCATCATCAGTATACACGTTAGCTGCAGGTGGAAAACATCTCAGCTATTGCGTCGCAATACAAAAGACAAGAAAAGGAAAACAAAAAGTGGCACGTCGACTGGGTCCCAGTAACGGTTGGACATAGTTCCAGAGAGCTAACATCTGACTATCGTGCCGCAAAAAGTGAGTTATATTATGCCTAACGAGTGAGATCGTGATTGGAGGAGGATGCTAAGCAGGAGGGGAATGGACAAAGGAACTCACAACACAAACGACACTGGGGCCGACTCCGAGCCATATCTCAACGTGCTCACCGTCCTTAGGACCCCAACCCGCCAGTCGGGATGCACCAAAAGAAGCCAAGTTCGAAGTGAGGGTTTTCATTCCTCTGTCTCTTGAACAACCGTTCAGAGATTAATTGGGCTATGTTGCACGGGCTGCAACAACAAAATTATGATGCCGACACACCGACACTAGATGAGACGCAGAGAGCACTCGCTCAGCCGAGAAACGGTAAGCGCGCTGATGCCAACGGAATCTCGCCTTAATTGTTAATACACGGCAGGTCCGCGTTGGTATATGCGTTGCACCGATTAGTACAACGCGTGTGAATTAAAGAAGAGGTGCAGGCTGATTTGAAGGATGTTTTATGCTACCACTGTACAAGGGAGAGAGAGAACAAGCAGTGTTCCACGAATAATCGAAGCATCAACTTGTTGAGTTGTGTGGGTACAGTGATGGTTAGAATCCTGCTCAACCGCCTCGTCATCCAGGCGGCTGAATCAAGCTTGGCGGGAGAGCAATGTGGATTCCGGTCGGGACGCAGCGCAATAGGTATGGTATTTGCGGCTCGTCGATTGCAGGGAAAGTGCAGAGAGCGACACCAGCCATTGTACTCGCTGTTTATAGACTGCTTCAAGTAACACATCTACTGAGTGACACAAATCATCATCAGCATTATACACGTCAGCTAGAGGTTGGAAACACCTCAGCTACTGCGCCGCAATACATAATAGAAAAAGGAAAATAAATAAAACAGTTGCATGCCAGCTGAGCTACCAGCAACTTATATTATCTATACCTAAAGGTACCATCCGTCAACATTCAACCCCCTCCCCCCCCCAACAACATAAATATACCCCAATCAACCCACCATCCCCACAAAAAACCCCCCCCCCCCCCCCCCCCCCCCCCCCCCCCCCCCCCCCCCCCAAAACCCCACCCCCCACCCCCCCAACACCCCCCCCCCCCCCCCACCACCCCCCCCCCCCCCCCCCCCCCCCCCCCCCACACACCCCCCCCCCCCCCCCCCCCCAACCCCCCCCCCCCACACCCACACACACCACACCCCCCCCCCCCCCCCCCCCCCCCCCCCCCACACACACCACACACACACACCCCCCCCCCCCCCACCCCCCCCCCCCCCCCCCCCACCCCCCCCCCCCCCCCCCCCCCCCCCCCCCCCCCCCACACCCCCCCCCCCCCCCCCCCCCCCCCCCCCCCCCCCCCCCCCCCCCCCCCCCCCCCCCCCCCCCCACCCCACCCCCCCCCCCCCCCCCCCCCCCCCCCCCCCCCCCCCCCCCCCCCAAAAAACCCACACACCCCCCACAACACCACCACCCCACCCCCCCCCCCCCCCCCCCCCCCCCCCCCCCCCCCCCCACCCCCCCCCCCCCCCCCCCCCCCCCCCCCCCCCCCCCCCCCCCCCCCCCCCCCCCCCCAACACAACAACCCCCCCCCCCCCCCCCCCCCCCCCCCCCCCCCCCCCCCCCAACCCAACCCCCCCCCAAACACCCCCCCCACACCACCCCCCCCCCCCCCCCCCCCCCCCCCCCCCCCCCCCCCCCCCCCCCCCCCCCCCCCCCCCCCCCCCCCCCCCCCCCCCCCCCCCCCCCCCCCCCCCCCCCCCCCCCAAAAACACCCAACAAACAAAAACCCCCCCCCCCCCCCCCCCCCCCCCCCCCCCAACCCCCACACCAACACACACACACCCACCCCCCCCCAACCCAAACAAACCCCCCCCCCCCCCAAAAAAAAAAAAAAAACAAAAACAAAACCCCCCCATTTATATAAAACCCCCCCCCCCCCCTCCCCCACCCCACAAACTTCCCTTTACTACATCATCATTATTTTTCTATGAATGAGATCGTGGTTGGAGAGCGAGGCAAAAAGGGATGAGGAGGGACAAAGAAACTCACAGCAGGAACGCCACTGAGGTCGACCCCTAGCCATGTCAGCAAGCGTACCCATCCAAACGTGTTCATCGTCTTTTGGACCCCAACCAGGGAGCTGTGAAGCTCCAACCTAGGCCAGCTCCGAATGGAGGGCTTTATTTCCTCTGGACCAAGTCAACGCTTGGCCACCCCTCCTCTTCTTCCATCCCCATCCCCGGTGAGCAAACAACGTATGTCGCGGAAGTCGGTGGGCCGGCATGCGTAACACCTCGCACAGCTATCGGAGCCTGGTGTGTGAAATAACTGTGTTGAGCTTCGAAGACGCTCGTTAATCACGCGATGTTCCCACCACATGTGAGCCAAACAGCGAAGACACCCATGATCGAACGGAACTAGTTTCTTTATAGTCGCTGATCTAAGGGGCCAGGTTTCGAAACCGTACAGTAAGGTCGAACGTACCGCTGCGTTGTAAACTGTACCCTTCAGGGCGAGAGTGATGCCGCGCCGTCACCATAGGTGGTGAAGACTAGAAAAAGCACTTCGAGCTTTTGATATACAGTTCGTGATCTCATCTTCAATCCCACGGGGGCTGATACAACTTCCCAGGTAGTTGAATTTCTGAACGACTTCTAGCTGACACCCACCAACCATCAGCGTAGGAGGCGATCCCTGCCAATCCAGGAGGAAATCTTTGCAATTTGATAGTGCAAAGCAAAGCTCGAAGCGGCTGACAGCCAGTGCTAATTTGTCCAGTGCAGCTTGGCAGGTCTGGGAGCTGTCACAGATGCGAGCAATGTCGCCTGCACACTCCAAGTCAAGAAGTCGTTCACCTGGGAGTAGTTGCACACCTTCTAAGTCGTGTGCTGTAAATGCAATCTCCATGACTTCTTCAATAGCGAAATTGAAGAGGAAAGGTGACAACGGGTATCCTTGTTTCACACCGCTGGAGATATTGAAGGGCAGCGACAGCTTGCCGTAAACCCTCACTCTGCCCGTGCTACGCGCATATAATGCACAAATAATATTTACATATTTCTCGCGCACACCTTTCCTGAGTAGACAGTTCCACAGGACATATCGACCAACTGAATCGAAGGCATCTTTGATATCGTGGAACACGACAACGGTGGGCCGCCAGTATGTGTAACGGTGTTCCAACAACTGACGCGCAGTGAAGATATGGTCGATGCAGCCACGACCACGACGAAACCCGGCTTGCTCTTCACGAATCTGGCTTTCACGGGTGCCAATTAATCTGTGAAGGATTACGGAGGCAAGTAATTTGGAAGCGATGGGGAGCAAACTGATTTCTCGATGGTTACCGCATTCCGAACACGAGCCTCCTTTGAAGATGGGAACAATAACGGAGCAGCTCCAGTCGGTTGGGACAGTTTCCTGCTCCCACAGTTTCACTAGTAATTCATGTAAATCATCAACATGAGCAGAGCCTCCGAATTTGAAGAAGGATGGATGAAGATCATCTGGTCCTGCGGCTTTGTTTAACTTCAACAGTCCCAACTCACGTTTGACTTCTGAGATAGAGGACGGATCCAAAGGGACGGCCCACGGAGCAGAGCGATCACTGGCCGGTGAGGAATCGAACAACTCCGGCCGATGAAATCGCTTTTCAAAATACTCAGCACAACCCTCTAAACTTTTTGACAAATTGTGGATAGGCTTTCCACTCTCGTTACAAATTGTTTCAATAACGCCAGGTCTCCTGCTGCCCGTTTCCCCTTATCAGACGGAATAACTTTTTATGGTTACCAAGCGCAGCGACCACTTCCATCTCTGACGCGCGAAGAGACCACCAAAATTCGCGTTCTCTCTAGCACGGAGTTTTGCCCGGAGTTCTGTTAGACTGTGTCAAGTAGGACTTCATTACTTACGTTCCCTTAAGTTCTCACAAAAATGTGCTATACACAGCTAGGACAAAACAGTACATTGCATTACTATTCAGAAAGTCTATCCAACCGGATTATAGTTATTCACTAAATGGGCCGTATATATTCGTCCTCTGCTTAAAACGCCAATGGACGGGATAAAGACACTTCAAGGAAGCATGATAGCATCGCCATAGCACAGTGCAGCAAGCGTTTACTAGGCGTTCCATAGGGGTCTACTCAAAATTACTCTACTACGAGTGATGTGAATTCTACTAGAATACACGTCAGAGAACCCTATAAGCTTGACCCAAAACGGCTGCGACGCACCAAGGTAGACTTAATGTTGTTTTGAAGATTCTACACAAAACCTACGTGCTTCTAGCAGAAATGTCTTGCTTTGAAAACTAACTGAGTACAATATACGCAAGAAAAGCAAAATTTGTGACAGAAAAGAGGACACAGACAAACGCCGCAGAAAACATTTTTCTGAACTGATGATCTAGAATAGTGGTTCTCAAGCTGTTTGTGGCTGTTACCCACAAAGCAGGTTTCACTGTAAACAATTATCCCATAAAAACATTTGCAAGTAAAGGCCAATTAACCTAAGGACTGTTGCATTATTTGCTTTATGTTACGGAAAATGCTGTTTTAATTCTTTCGGACAAAACAATTAAAGAAAAAACTTATTTTGAGCAACTTTTAAAAAAGCAAAGCTAAATTCGGGTCAGTCTGTCTGCGGGCCAACTTATCATCTTTCGAAGTGTTGGATTGGGCGCTTCTCACCTTCAACGTGCCGTGTTGCAGGAACACTATACATTTTATGAGCAATTGACCATTGGTAACGAGGAACTCGAAGCAGTTGGTCAATACACTTGGTTTGGCAGCTGCAGCAGCAACGAGGGACGAATAAGGACGGAAGTCAGGTTACGTATCGCAAAAACCAGAACTGCCTTCATGAGTCTGCAATATCCGTGGTGTCATAAAGGGGTTTCCATCGGCCTGAAAAGCAGCGTGTGCAATATCCCAATGACGGCCGTAACACTCTATTGGAATAAGAATCGCCCCCTCCGATTTGACGCGTCTTCAATCAGTTGATCATCGATTCCTGCGAAGCACTTCTAGTGTCGGATGGCACCAGCGTGTCAGCAATGATGATATCTAGCTGGCTCCTTAGAAGAACAACTCATCCAAATTAGCATCCATACAGCAGCCATATGAACTGATTCTTGTCTGCCGTACAACCACTGTGGCCTACGGAACAAAGAATAATAAGAGGGAGAGAAGAGGGACCAAGTGTAAAACAACGCAGTAACCTAACATTCAGGGTTGGTGTCTACATCTTGTCAATAAAATATCGTCACAAACAGCTGGCTATAGTCAAGGATAGAAATAAATAATTTGCGTTGGCTGAGACAAGTATTACGTATGCTCATGCACCACTTACCACTTGTTTGCCAGATGTAGGGTAGTGCAAAGATCGAGGTGATAAAAGGTTAACGTGGCAGCGTTGAATAAAGTCGTTTACTACAAACCTGAGTTCTGTTGGTCTGTCTCGCCATCAAGATGGAGTAGACATGACCCGCCTTGTGCTTGCTCGCAGTCGTCTCCTACTTGGACTGCCTGTTTATAATATGTTTGGTGCTGAGTTATCTGCTGAGCAATGACTGATTCATTGTTATCATCATCAGTATACACGTTAGCTGCAGGTGGAAAACATCTCAGCTATTGCGTCGCAATACAAAAGACAAGAAAAGGAAAACAAAAAGTGGCACGTCGACTGGGTCCCACTAACGGTTGGACATAGTTCCAGAGAGCTAACATCTGACTATCGTGCCGCAAAAAGTGAGTTATATTATGCCTAACGAGTGAGATCGTGATTGGAGGAGGATGCTAAGCAGGAGGGGAATGGACAAAGGAACTCACAACACAAACGACACTGGGGCCGACTCCGAGCCATATCTCAACGTGCTCACCGTCCTTAGGACCCCAACCCGGCAGTCGGGATGCACCAAAAGAAGCCAAGTTCGAAGTGAGGGTTTTCATTCCTCTGTCTCTTGAACAACCGTTCAGAGATTAATTGGGCTATGTTGCACGGGCTGCAACAACAAAATTATGATGCCGACACACCGACACTAGATGAGACGCAGAGAGCACTCGCTCAGCCGAGAAACGGTAAGCGCGCTGATGCCAACGGAATCTCGCCTTAATTGTTAATACACGGCAGGTCCGCGTTGGTATATGCGTTGCACCGATTAGTACAACGCGTGTGAATTAAAGAAGAGGTGCAGGCTGATTTGAAGGATGTTTTATGCTACCACTGTACAAGGGAGAGAGAGAACAAGCAGTGTTCCACGAATAATCGAAGCATCAACTTGTTGAGTTGTGTGGGTACAGTGATGGTTAGAATCCTGCTCAACCGCCTCGTCATCCAGGCGGCTGAATCGAGCTTGGCGGGAGAGCAATGTGGATTCCGGTCGGGACGCAGCGCAATAGGTATGGTATTCGCTGCTCGTCGATTGCAGGGAAAGTGCAGAGAGCGACACCAGCCATTGTACTCGCTGTTTATAGACTGCTTCAAGTAACACATCTACTGAGTGACACAAATCATCATCAGCATTATACACGTCAGCTAGAGGTTGGAAACACCTCAGCTACTGCGCCGCAATACATAATAGAAAAAGGAAAATAAATAAAACAGTTGCATGCCAGCTGAGCTACCAGCAACGGATAGGCATCGTTACAGTAAGGTACCAGCCGGCTACTAGGCAAAAAGAAAAAATTATTATGTTGTACACTATGAAATGAGATCGTAGGTGGAGGGGGAGGCTAAAAGGGATGAAGAGGGACAAAGAAACTCACAGCAGGAACGCCACTGAGGTCGGCTCCTTGCCATGTCAGCAAGTGTATCCAACCAAACGTGTTCACCGTCTTTTGGACCTCAACCAGGGAGCCGTGACGCTTCAACCGAGGCCAGCTCAGAAGTGGGGAGCTTCATTTCTCTGGAC